AACATCCGAACAGCTGACCACGGTCTACTCAGATCGTGTTGTAACACTGTGTCTCAGACTTGTTTCAGATGGGTGTAGAGCGAGCTTATGCCTTGTTTCCAATTTGAGAGTGGTAGTTTGTGCGGATCCATTTTCGGATTTCTGCGATTGGTTCTTCATGATGAATCGGATGACTTCGTGCCTTCCATGTAGTGCGGGGCCTGTCATGTTTCACCCGTGCCTTTGCCTGTTTCTCTGTGCTTGAGTCGCGGTTGCTCCCCTTCTTCATCTGTTTGGGGTTGATTTCCCAACTGTGAACAACTTAAATCTTGGTTTGCCTTCGGACCCTTGAGCCGGAAAACAACGGGATCCACATGCCATGGGGAGTGAGGCTGGTTTGCTTTTGGGTTCCCGGGCTCCTCTTGTTTAAAAAAAAGGAGCTGGCACCGCATTGACTACATCAGGCAACTGTATCCCTCACGCACTCGCGCGCTTGGACTCTTTGTCAGAGGAGGGCAAGAGCAAATTGGGCGCCACCACAGAGCAGATGAATGTGTACATGGAGCAGCGGGGCTGTCGCACCTACCAGCAATGCTCGGCGGCCTTTGGGTGTCTTCTGCATCCGGTTTTGTCAGAATCTGCTTTCCGGCGATGCCTTTCCGATGGAGTGGATAGCAAGACCTGCGTCTTTTATTTGCTGGAGCGGTCTTTTCTTGGCCGTTGCTGAAGCAGAAGTCTCTCAGCTCCTGGACATGGCTGCGGGCGCCGTGGGAGAAGTGGATTTTTCGATGGATGTCGACCGGATGGGGCTGGGGCAAGATGCGGGCGAGGAGACGGGCGTTGATTGGCTGGATGCTGACGGTGCGGTGACGGTGGACGCGGCGCTTTTGCAAGAATTGCGCCAAGAGGTGCTGACACGCGTCGCCCGGGCAGGGCGCGGGTCCCTGAAATGCGTGGGCGGAATGTACCGCTGCCCGGCTTGCCGCTTTCGAGCTTTCCGCGATTGCTCGCGCGTGGCTCAGCACCTCCGATGCTACCACACCGAGAAGCAGCGGTTCTGCTGTTCTGGAACAAAGCAGTTGCGGGCGCTGCTCTCCATCCACGACACGGACATGCTGGCTGAGAGCCGTGGTGGCCGGTACCTGGAAAGAAGCGAGAAGGTGATCCGCGAGCTTGTGAAGCCTGAGCTTCCCATCAAGAACAACAACATTGATCGAGGCTTTTGATTGGTGCTCGAACACTCATGAACGCGGCCGTCATAGCCAAGGGCACTCTCGCTCGCAGGGTCGGCAAGATCTGGTACACCCGCGCCTTCGCAGAGCGCCTCTTCAAGGAGATCTTGCTGCAGCACGCCAAGGCTGGACCGGAGTAGCAACTAGATCGATGTTAATTTCGCACGAACAACATCCCACGCATCCCTGAAGTGAAGACAGTCTGGCCTCGTCTCATGCTTGATTCAGTCAGCGCTGGCAATGCGCTGACCAACTTGCTGCCCGGCCACACTGCGACTTGGTGGCCGTTGGTGGAAGATATCCTCCGATCGCCTGCGTGTGTCGCCTTGAAGCAGAACCTTCTTAGCGCTGCGAAAAGCACGGCGAGTACCAGTAGTTATCTATAGATGGCACATTCCGAGCTTGCGTGACGCTGATGGGCCAGGCCTCCTTCAACGCACCAACCGCTGAACGAGCAGCGCAGCCATTCACTGTTCGAAGATAGCTTCCGGTGTGTCATCACTATCCGGGGCCAGAGCGGGGCTTGGCGCCTGCCATCGGAGCGCAGAGCATATGTGTGTCCTGGATGCTCTAGCAGAAGCCCTGCAGCGTGTCAAGTATGTGGCGTCCAACTGCCCCTCTGCGAAGCTGATGGGGCAGCTCCAAGCAGTTCTACCAAATCTTCAGGCGCTGGCGCTTGATGCGACGCACGCCGCCATGCACTACGAGCCAGCCACCAACGGCCGGAAGACAGCTGGGTCAGCACTTCTGCGGAAATTCTTGGCCAAGTTCTGGCTGAGAGACAACGCGCTGGCTGTTAACATTTGGGGCGCGCCCTACGACGGCTCGCTGCCGGCGCGGGAGAACGCCCTACGGGAGCACATCATCAAGGGCACGCTGGGGCTGCGGCTCTTGGTTTAGTGGACGGGTTGTCTGCCTGGCCTACACGGATTCAGTTCATCGAGGCCGGCCGCTCTGACGCGGGAGCGCTCCAAGGACCTGGAGCGCAAGATTGAAGGTACCCGCAAGACGGTGGGCAAAATTCTCTATCACCTCACGGCCGCTGATCGGCTCGAGTGGCTCTTCAACAATCGTAGCACTCTGCAGCTTAAGCTCGCACGTTGCTCTACACAGCCCCACCGCCAATCAAATTGTCTTAGCGCGACAGGTGGGGACGGTTTTTTTGTGGACGACGAGGATGTGGTCATCGTGGGTGGCTGAGCGGCACGCAAGCGGGGCGGTAGGGCGTTGTAGTTTGCCCCTGGCTGCTCAGCGGCAGATGGAACAGGAGGCCATTCAAGCTACCCGAGGTCTAAAGCGACCTGCGGCAGGCATGCGGAAGCGCACTCCATTCACCTTGGAGCGGGCGCCAGGGGCAAGCGCAGCAGGAGTGCGCTTCCGCAGGCCCGCCTCGCATGCGCCAAGCTGAACGGGTCGAGAACTGCACCAAGCACTTAAAGGCTATGTTCTTGACATTGCCAGGACAACAATAGAACGAGAAGAAATTTGCTTTCTATGCAATTGTCCTCTCTTTGGGGCACGTGGGAAGTCAGCCTCTGCACGCTTCGTAGGGGAATTGCCTCTTGTTTCGGGCAAATCGAAAGTCAGCTTCTGTAGGGGAATTGCCTCTTGCGTTTGCGTAGCTGGCGCTCTCTGGCTTCCTTGTGCGGCTCACAGCTTCACATCGCACATTTGTACGAGATGCAACAGGTCACGCTGGTAAGTAGGATAGATATATAGATATGTGGGTGGCTGGATATATTTAGCTCACACACCGTTTTGTTCTTGTGATGCCGAGAGATGTTCATGACCTGGCAATGCTGGTGCGGCTATCTTTTTGCAGCCTGCTGCAGCCGCCGATGTGGTTGAGCCATTCAGTCTGCTCAAGCAAAATGTCTGGGAGGTTGGTTGCAGCAACCTTCCCCATAAAGCTTTTTCTGCGGCGAGAGCTTGCGGCGGAGCATTAAGAAATACCTCGCTTCGAGCAATCCCCAACACTCACGATCTTACGACCCTTACCACAAATTCCTCTGCATCCTCAAGACTTCGACTCCAAATTCCCATCGGCCCTTTTGGACATTAAGCAAAACCAGACAGGCGAGCTGCTCTGGTGGGATACTTGGCGGGATCCACTGGCGACGAGCCGCTCCGGCTCGATACTGGCCGGATACTTGGCAGCGGCAAGGGATACTCAGCGAGATACTCGACGGGATCCACTGGCAAGCTACTCTCGGATATTTAGCGGGTGGCATACTCAGCAGGATACTTGGCGGGATTTACTGGTGGGCTGCTTTGGTGGGATACTCGGCGGCTACTCAGCGGGATATTCGGCGGGATTCGCTGCCGGCTGCTCTCATAAGATACTGGGCGGGATCCACGCGAGCCGCTGCAGGATTCGGCGGGATCCATTGGCGAGCAGCTCTGGCCGGATACTTGGCGGGATGCAGTGGAGAGCAGATATGGTGGGATACTGGGAGGGATAAACTGGAAAGCTGCTATGGCGGGATACTTGGCGGGATCCACTGGCGAGCAGCTCTGGCGGGAAACTCGGCGGCATCCACTGGCGAGCCACTCTGGCGGGGTACTCGGCGGCATCCACTGGCGAGCCGCTCTGGCGGGATACTCGGCTGGCGAGCAGCTCTGGCGGGATACTCGGCGGCATCCACTGGCGAGCCACTCTGGCGGGGTACTCGGCGGGATCCACTGGCGAGCCGCTCTGGCGGGATACTCGGCGGGATCCACTGGCGAGCAAGCTATGGCGGGATACTCGGCGGCGAGCCACTCTGGCGGGATACTCGGCGGGATCCACTTGGTGAGATGCTCGGCGCGATCCACTGGCGAGCTGCTATGGCGGGATACTGGGTGGGATCCACTGGCGGATACTCGGCGGGATCCACTGGCGAGCAGCTCTGGCGAGATGCTCGGCGCGATCCACTAGCGAGCTGCTATGGCGGGATACTGGGCGGGGGCGTGGTGTAGAAGCATCGCAAACGCGGGTTCCAACATAAAATCTATCAACCCCTTCCTGTCGGGTGGGGAAAAAAGACGCTGCGCGCATGTGCCTACGTGCCTTTGCGCCTTTGCGCCTTTGTGCCTTTGTGCCTTTGTGCCTTTGTGCCTTTGTGTGTGTGTGTGTCGCACGGCTTGCGTACGGCAACCTTGGCGCAACACACTGCGCCGTATTGTACGCAATCTTCCCAACCACCCCCCCCCCGACCCAGAAACTGGCCAAATTCCCCTTTTCAGAAACCGAAACCTGTCAAATACTCCTGTCAAATCTTCCAGAAACCGGCAAAATTCCCCACCAGAAACCAATCAAACTCCCCACAAATTTGCACCCCGCCGTTCTGTAGCTCTTCGCGGCTCTGGCCAAGGCGGGCAACGCGGAAGCGTCTACAATTAATTCAGGGGGTCCAGTCTCTCGCTCTTTCTACAGTAGCTCTGTCTCTCTTTCTCTCTCTCTCTCTCTCTCGCACACCCCGCTACTTGCAATTAGTTTTGGCTTGAGTGCCCGAAATCCCCCCGCTCAGCCAAAAATTGATAGTCTATCAATTTACTTGGCGCGGAATTACTATGTGGCAGGGGGAAATGAAAGCGTCACGCATACCATGAGGGCTAGAGAAGGCCAGGGCTGTTCCAGGCAACACTGACCAGGTCCGCTAACTTCAAGCAGGCCCAGCTGCAAATGGGCATTGCATGAGCTCATATCAATGAAGCTCTTCGTGTGACCTTGTGAGCCTTGACTTGGACTCCCCAGTTTCTCAAGGCACACACAACGATCCTCGAACCATGAAACTTCGCCCATCCCGCCTGCGCTTGTCACCACGCCGTCAGCTTCGGAAACCTGCTCTGATCCGACCACTGTGAAGGGTTGCGCCCTGCTGAACATGTGACTACTGTAAGTTGCACATCAAGCATGAGGCAGTTGGCCTTGTTGCATTTGGCTTGCCCCAAATACCACAGGCCGCGAAACGGTGCCTGTGCAGAGGTGGGATATCCAATCGAACGCATGCGCGCGCCTGTGCAGTGTGTGCTTGCTTCTCTTGTGCGAGCATGTGTGCATGCGCCTGTGTGATACATTAAAATCACATTATGAATATATATATATATATATATGTGTGTGTGTGTGTGCGTGTGATTCTGTGGTGTGTAAGTGTGTGTGTGTGCGCGCGCGTTTGTTTGTGGGTGTGTGCACATGTTGCTTGCGCACTCGGGTCCAAGGCCGCTGGCGCAGTCGTGCACGCGCTCATGTTTTTCATTCGTTGAGAACTTTGGAGAAGCCGGTCAGTGCTGCTTCCACCACTACGTGTGATAACCACTCCCGTGGACGTGCTTGCGTGTGATAGCAATGCACGCGCGCGTGCGGGCTGGAGAAAGCCTGGCCGGAGGCGCACCACGCACAGTCAGCAAAAACGGGCGCAAGCGCGGGTGTGGCTCTGAGCATGCACGGATGTGTGCGTGTGGTGCGCGCCCACGCGCGCATGCGCACGCACAGGTGGGTCCATCCGAGCATGATTGCGGCGCGCAAAGTACAACTCCAATAGATTGGTTATTCTGCGGGAGATCTCGGTCATCTCCTTCGCATAGGTTTCTGATTTTGAACTGGGTTGTAGTTTATAACCAGCTGCCTTCCGGATTCCTGCTGGTTTACGTTGACATACATGATCATCTTCTTGACAGGCACCTTGTCAGCTGTGATCAGTGTGTTGCCATGTCGAATCTGTACAGGAACAGTGCAAAGCATGGAAGATGTTGTCGTACTTCACGATAGCAGAAATCTCGAATATTTCCGTGGAGGAAATGTATAGTCTGTCACGTCGACGAAATGATTATGGATTACGATTCTTCGGCCGTCCGATGTCCGGAATGGTTCTGTGTGGCTGCAAAGGTTTCCGCATTGACTTGCTCTTTGGCTTGCCTTGCAGAGCTTCTTAAAAAGTAAATCCGCACTCTTCGGCTGGTGCCTTGTTTGGCGCTCTCTGCGAGGAACTCGTTCCTACTGGTTCTCGTTGCCAGATCTCGGGCGCATCGTCACGAAAATCTCGTTCGGTACACTGCGTCTGCGCGGATTGGTGCGAAGGAAATCTGTTGGGCTTCTTTGTCTTGGGTCCCACCTTTTGGAAAATTTTTCCCATGATCCATTTCCGGAACTATGTGGAGGAGGTCCTCGAGGTTCACCTCTGTCTGAAATGGCCATGCAGGTCCGGTTCTTGGAGACGTCAGAAATGGATGCTATGAGAAGAAGACCACTGATGCCGCAAAATGAATAAGTCTTCGCGGTTCCTTCGAGAATAATACCAAGCCGTACGCTTCCGTCATTTTCTCTTTTGAAAAGTTTACGCCTGCTGTTCTCATCAGGTGTGTGTTGCAGGAGTGCTGTAAAGGTTCTGGATATCTTCTCTGAATAGGAACAACTGTGCAGCGACCCACATCTTTTTCTCATTGGCCTTGAGGAGGTTTGCCATTGCCCACATTGTGATGCGTCATAGACATATCGACATGGCGTTGGTAATTGTCTACTGCGGGAACAATCTGCGTGCGCCACGTCTGTGGCGCATCTCTCATGCTGCTCATGATGTTGTTGGTGGATCTCGTGCGCTGACAAAATTTCTTGAGGTCATAAGACCTGTCTCCAACGTGGCCCCAGACCTTGAGGAGTTGTAGACCATGGATACCTTTATCATGAGCGTAGTAGTTGCGTTGGCTCTGTGGAAGAGAAGGAAAGTTCTGTCGAACATCATTTATGAAATGACATTTCTGGTAGAACCAGGAGATTGCTGTACTGAAGGAATCGGCATACATCGCAAATGGGTCTTTGAGGAAACTGATCTGGCTGAAGTTCTGCTGCATGATCTTCCTGCATAGGTTCTCGGCGACGACGTGGTTGATCGTCGGATTGTTTGTCGCCTCCTTAGTCTGGTTCTTCATCATCTGGTTCATCTGTGGCATGAGTAGATTCCTGGAAAATCGTCCTGTTCGTCTTCTTCGTCATCATTGTGTTCTCTTGTTAACAGTTTGATGAGATCTTCCTCAGAATCTATTTCACTCTTTGGCTTCTTAGGAGAAGCTGTCGGCCCTCCTGGATCTTGCATGTCCTCATCCTCCTCGATCGCTGATTTTTCCTGTCTGCGTTGGAGGATCTGGATCTGGAGGTGTGTCTTCCTGCATCCTTCGTCTTCCGACATTTCGCCACATGTCGCGAGGGGTTGTAACACAAGAGTCACTCACATGGAAAGTAAATGGCTGCGGGAGCCGACACAAATTTCTTGAGTCAACGGTTCTGACAAGTTGCAAGGAAATCAAAACGGTTCATGGTTCTTCAATGCAATCATCACTGGATATCCGCTCCGGTGTGAATGCCAGAAACGGCGCACTTTGTGTGATATATTCTCTGCCAAGAAGGTGAGAACGCAAGAACCACTGCGAGTGTCGTAGGCCAACCGTTAAACCAGGAACGCCTTGTTCTGAATTGTCCGGAAAGGTGGACGTAAATCAACATTTGGAAGAATGCCTGTCATGACGGATTTGATGAGCTCGTCGGCCTTGGCACACCTCTTCGTCAATCAGCCACAGTGGTGGACATGATAGTTGCAGTGATCTTATGAGTTTCATAATCAACGAGGGGTCCTCTGAATCTTGTGAAGATTCCGATCTTGCGCAAGGAGAAAAACATGCGCAAGCTGCGATGAGTTGTCATCGTTGTTCCTGTAAGACGCATCAGGGTGTCCGACTTGCGTGGTCTTGCAGAATCTCATACTAAGAGGTACACTCTTAATGGTTCTGATACTTTGTTTATGGTTCTCACATCATCAATGGTGGGAGATGAGGCCTTCTGAAGCCAATTGATCTGTCCAAGTACACTTCGGCATAGCTGGGTTCAGCTGCACATCCAGGTGTTTCTCGAAGTGGATCTCTTGGAGTTCATCTATGGCTTCTGGCGCCGATTTGTGGATCATGTTTCCTTTTTGTTTAAAGGTGGGTGTGTGTGTGTGTGTGTGTCTGCCTTCGTGTTTGCGCGCTTGCGTGTTTTGGTCCTGGAATTCTGTCGGTGTGCACGTGCGCAGGTCTAGGTTCGGGCGCGCGTGTGTGTGTGTGTACATGCGACGGTTGTCTGAAACTCCTTGTTCCGGAAACCGCCGTCTTCGAGGAAAAGAAAAACCTTCGCGAGCCCCATCGCGGGGCTGTTCTCACAACGTTCATCAAAGAAATGGCATAGTCGCAACTTGTCAATACGAAAGTCGCACGCAAAGTTAGCTTCTGCATCCCGGCTCGAAAGCTGCAAATTTTCAGTACGAAAGTAGTACACGAACTAAACTTCTGCAGCCACAGCTCGAAAGTCGCAACCTTTCAATACGAAAGCTGCACACGCAGCCCCCGGCGAAGGCAGCTCCAGCTCACAAGCTTCGCGGCAGCACGCGAGGGGCCCGTTGGCCACCCGTGTCCGGAAACTGGCGGGGAGGCTCATCGCGGATCTTACCCCAATCATTAGCGAAAATCCGGCTGGAAAGTTGCACGCAACTTGACCCGAAAGCTTCAAGCCTCCCGCAAGCCTTTTTCGCGCTTCCCCCGACCAACTTTAGTATGATTGTGTGCATTCTGCGCGCACTGCCGGCACACACACGTGGTTCATCACTCCAGCTTCCTGTTAGCAAGCCACCCTTACCCAAAACTTTCGCGGACAAAGGGCTAACTTCGCGGCCCCCTTCGCGGAATCTTCGCGGAGGTCAACGCTAAGACCCAAAGGTAGCCCCCTTCATATCTCAACACAAGGACCCTTTCGGACGACTCTCATGCGTGTGTGTGTGAGTGAGTGTGCGTGCGCGGAGCGCAACGATTGTGGCCGCTGGGCGGCTGAGTGGATTTGACTTCCTCTGTCTCGACCGTGGGCCAGCCTCAGTTGACTCGCTACAGAACCAAAAAAGTCCAATGAAGAAATGCAAGAAATGGCTCAAACAATCAAAGACTTGCATAAATTGGCACATGACTTGACGCAGCGCCATTCATGAACTTGACTCTCTTGAGTCTGCCTGATAGAACATGCTACAGAATCAGCTTCTGGGGTTCAAAGTTTTGCTCGAGTTGCGCTTTTCGTTTGGATGGGCGAAACACACAACCTTCGACGCTCTGCCTTTTGCAATTTACGTAAGAGGCCTGCGACTGACTCAGTTGGCTCTAGCTGCAACTAATGTTGTTCTGGAACAAATGCAAAAACCTCAAACAAGCATGGCGCTGAAGCACACTTTGGTTTTTGCAGAAAAGGAGCGGGCGAGAGCGAGAGAGATAGAGAGAGAGAGAGAGAGAGCGAGAGAGCGAGAGAGCGAGAGAGCGAGAGAGCGAGAGAGCGAGAGAGCGAGAGAGCGAGAGAGCGAGAGAGCGAGAGAGCGAGAGAGCGAGAGAGCGAGAGAGAGAGAGAGCGAGAGAGCGAGAGAGCGAGAGAGCGAGAGAGCGAGAGAGCGAGAGAGCGAGAGAGCGAGAGAGCGAGAGAGCGAGAGAGCGAGAGAGCGAGAGAGCGAGAGAGCGAGAGAGCGAGAGAGCGAGAGAGCGAGAGAGCGAGAGAGCGAGGAGACGAGAGAGCATGAGAAAGCGGAAAGAAAGCTGCGAAGCGCGAAAGGCGCGGAAGGGGAGGAGGGAGGGAGGGATGGAGGGAGGGAGGGAAGGGGGGAGGGAGGGAGGGAGGAGGGAGGGAGGGGAGGGAGGGAGGGAGGGGGAGGGAGGAGGGAGGGAGGGAGGGGAGGGAGGAGGGGGGGGAGGGAGGGAGGGAGGGAGGGAGGGAGGGAGGGAGGGAGGGAGGGAGGGTGGGAGGGAGGGAG